ACCAGCTGTTCGGCATTTTTCGGCACTTGAATTAAACATTCTGATATTCCTAGAATGCTTAAAAATATTATACAAAAAGATTTGTTTGTGCCGAAGAATGCCATCACAACTAAAACTCTAACCAAACACGGAAAATACAAACCAAGAAAGCTCACAATTACATATGTACTAAATACAATATCGATTTACACAAAACACAACATATACTACATATACTTTTTGTTGTAAAAGGGAAGTTAATAACTTTATTTAAAGTATTAAGCACTTTCATTGCACAAGCTTAAAACATTTTTTAAGGAGAGCTTCCCTTGCACGTTGCTTACGCTGAAATACCCAATGAATATTATGCTCTCTCTTTCGATGCTATTCTTGAAGAGGACAGATAGCGCAAATCAAAAAGATGAATAATTCAAATAGCTAGACCAATTATAAATAAGAATTGGTAAATTTAAAGTCAAAATTTTGACTTCGATTTTTTATTTATGGCCTATGGAACCGATCAGTGTGCGTTGGTTTGAAAAAAAGTTTAGATCGCTGAAATTCAAAAACTATATTGGGTATGACCTTAACGCTTTCACAGGATATTTTTGAAATTGTAAACTATCGATTGGCCAGTAATAATCGATTTTTAAATTAAAAATGTACACGGGTAAAGCCCTTTAAAAAACTTTTCCGAACGGACGTATATATTACGTAGCTGCAATAGAAACTACTGGTTAAATTTAAAAAAAAAAATGTTGTTTTTAAAGGAATATGCGAACTTATCGTTTTTTGTTGCCTAATATAATGATTTTCTATCAGTTCGAATACATCTCTTGACTGCATGGGTATTACAACTTCAACTTACCAAAGTTGGGTTCCAATTACAGCAAGAAAATAATCCTTAAAAAACTTGTTTACCCAATAAAGCTGTATAATTCAATCTTTATAAAATCATAAAAAAAATGTAAAATGTTTATAATAATAAAATCAGTGAAAACCTTGCCAACTTTTTTCGTTTTTGTTATCTTTTCAAATCCGATTTCAATCGATGTTTTTCGAACGACATGTAAATAGCTTGGAAGTGTGGCCTTCGCAGCTTACGGGCAAAATACTAACGTGTACCTAACCCACACACCCCGCCCACCCCGCCCACACATTGCGAAAAAAGCTCCTCTCCAGAAAAAGTGGCAGTCGTAATAGCGAGCTGAAGCTGAACAAGAGGAAAAGTGAAAAGCAAGCGGAGATTTAACCATGTCGAAGATCGGAATTAACGGATTTGGCCGCATCGGCCGTCTGGTGCTGCGCGCCGCCGTCGAAAAGGGCGCCTCCGTGGTGGCCGTCAACGATCCCTTCATCGATGTCAACTACATGGTGTATCTGTTCAAATTCGACTCGACTCACGGTCGTTTCAAGGGCACCGTGGCGGCCGAGGGCGGTTTCCTGGTGGTGAACGGCCAGAAGATTACCGTCTTCAGCGAGCGCGACCCGGCCAACATCAACTGGGCCAGCGCTGGCGCTGAGTATGTGGTGGAGTCGACCGGAGTGTTCACCACCATCGACAAGGCGTCCACCCACTTGAAGGGTGGTGCCAAGAAGGTCATCATCTCGGCCCCATCCGCCGACGCGCCCATGTTCGTCTGCGGCGTCAACCTGGACGCCTACAGCCCCGACATGAAGGTAGTGTCCAACGCCTCCTGCACCACCAACTGCCTGGCTCCCCTGGCCAAGGTCATCAATGACAACTTCGAGATTGTCGAGGGTCTGATGACCACCGTGCACGCCACCACCGCCACCCAGAAGACCGTGGATGGCCCCTCCGGAAAGCTGTGGCGCGACGGCCGTGGCGCCGCCCAAAACATCATCCCGGCCGCCACCGGAGCCGCCAAGGCCGTGGGCAAGGTAATCCCGGCCCTCAACGGAAAGCTGACCGGCATGGCCTTCCGCGTGCCCACGCCCAATGTCTCCGTCGTGGATCTCACTGTCCGCCTGGGCAAGGGCGCCAGCTACGACGAGATCAAGGCCAAGGTCGAGGAGGCTTCCAAGGGTCCGCTGAAGGGAATCCTGGGCTACACCGACGAGGAGGTCGTCTCCACCGACTTCCTCAGCGACACCCACTCGTCGGTCTTCGACGCCAAGGCTGGCATTTCGCTGAACGACAAGTTCGTCAAGTTAATCTCGTGGTACGACAACGAGTTCGGCTACTCCAACCGTGTCATCGATCTGATCAAGTACATGCAGTCCAAGGACTAAATGCCACCATCGTACAAACCCGGGGCGTGCAAGTGGATCAGGAATCACTGTCTGTTGTATAATAACTATAACCCAGGCAGAGTGCGCCCCGAGAATTCGGCACTATGCACAATTAAATGGGCTTTTTTGGTTGGCTCTCAAAAGTTACCAGAATCATTGCAAACATTTAAACAATACGAATATCCATACCTACACAAATATATTTATTGCTGTTAAATAAAGTATTGCTCTGTTACTGTATTCAAACGCCAGCTATTGAAAAATAAAATTATGTGCATAGTTGAATGCTTGTGTAAGCCCAAGGTCGTGGGAAGGTTACATCAGGGCACCGCCGGAAAGATTCGCCAAGATATATGTATGTATGTATGGTATGTACACACATAAAAATGCATTTTGGGGAGCCAGCACAAACTCAAACGGATGGTAAAAATAAAGGGAACAACGTTTCTATTTATATGCAAACTCTGCGAATCCGAACTTTTCAGATTATGCAAACATTTGTACATTTTCTTATCGCTGCACTTTAGGATGCTGTTTGTTTTGTCTTCGATTTACTCTCGGCACATTATTTTATGGCCAGTTGAGCACAAAATTGATTTTAATAGCCGTTTCATGATCTTGGTATTATCGCCAATAAGCGGTAAATTTTCTTAGGATTTCCTTGCAAATTATCGACCTGCATATTTTTATACAAAAGTATTTTGCTTTGTATACACAAGGTCATGAAAGGTCATAGGCGGCTTGCAAAGGTACTTGATTAATGTACACAATATTTCGATTGCAAGAAGTCAAACAGATTATTTCGTCCAGGGCTGCAAAGCGCGCCACATTCAAAAAGTTAAACGAAAAGTAATTAAGCTGGGCACGCTACAAATAATTATATTAAGTTTTTATTAAATAACGGTGTCGATACGACAACGTCTGTCTGTGTCTTCCACAGTTTAAGAAATTGAACAATTTTTATAAAGTTTACCGCGTGGGGGTTCGCACTATGGAAGTCCTTTTTAAATTTTTCTTTATTTCATTTGATTGTTACAGATAGGTAACATAAATATTTTTGTTAACAAAATGGAAAAGAAAAAATCAACGCGTCGCATATGTTTTTGTACAAGTTTAGAAAAAATAGAAACATTATTTTAAAATATTTTTAGCAATTTGTAATACTATAATTAAAGTGATTTTTGTGTACACATCAATGACGTGTTAAACTTCTAGGAAAGAGCAATAAAAAATTATCTTATCGCGACAAAGATTAAACAGCCCCACAAAATATCACTTTTTTGTTTGTTGCATTTGAAGTTGATTAATTGTGCTTTTCCAAGCATAATTTTCGTTTTGGTAATACGGATCCCTAAGAATTGTTTACTAATTTGGGCTTTGCGCCTTCATAATTTATGCAGAATGCTGAACTCTTAGATACATTACGCACTAATTAATTTATTTTTGCTTGTTTTTATACCTTGCAGAGGGTATTATAAATTCAGTCAGAAGCTTGCAACGCAGTGAAGGAGACATCTCCGGCCCTATAAGGTGTATATATTCTTGATCAGCATCACTAGGAGAGTCGATCTAGCCATGTAAGTCTGTCCGTCCGTTTCTACGCAAATTAGTCTCTCAGTTTTAAAGCTATCTACATGAAACTTCCCTAAAATTTGTATTTCTATTGCTGGTAGTATATTAGTCGGGTCGAGCTATAGCATATAGCTCCCATAGTAACAATCGGAAAAATAAATAAAAAAAAATTATATCTTTGGTGTTTTTTAAGTTCTTTGAGATATAGTAATGGTTCAATATTTAAGAATTTCAAATTTACGGTTTAAATTTCATCAAAATCGGATGTCTATAATCTAAAGCTTCCATAGGAACAATAAAAATATCCAAAAAAAATTTTTTTTAATTTAACTCTTTTGTTTTGTATTTTTTTTTTTTAATTCTTTATGATTAATTAATAATTTGATAGTTCAGAATTACGTTTTTAATTTTATTAAAATCGGAAAACGATATCATATATCTTCCATAGGAACTAGCAAATAAGCTTCAAATAGCTTCAATGTAAACACACACGCAAGTCAATCATAATTTTAATGTTTTCAAGAATATTTCATTTTTGCAATAGCTGCAAGGGTATAAGAACTTCGGCTTGTCGAAGTTTGCTTCCTTTCTTGTTTATTTTTGTTTTGTTTACAATTTAATTTTCCTGTTTGTTCTTATCGATATTGCCACCATTTTTATATGCTAGCAGATATGTATCATGTATCAAGAAAAGATAACGTACTATTTATACGCTCATTTTTAGCTGAACATGATGGAAGAAATCCATCAGTGACCAGTGATCATGTTGTTCAGCTGAATATTACTAATTGTTTTCTTCTTTATAACAGTTACATCGCTAAGGAATATATGGCCCCTTTTGTGGTAGTTTCCACATTTCACTTTTGTTTTCATTGCTCTTGTTTAACAGTTATCTAATCAGCTTTTGTTACCTTATCCATCGAAATGAATGTATTGGCAAGGCTATACTATCTTAATCCTTTTTGGCTAGTTTCGTCTGCGGTTAAAATAAATTGAAGTAAATTCTAAAATATAAAAAAATCGAACACTTTAATTAAAAAAAAGGGTACTTTCGTTTCGCAATCATTTGAAATAGCTGAATAATGATATAGAGTACACACAAGAGTCATAAAACAATCAGAAATATGAAATATATAAATATTAATTGTATGATCGGATGACTGCGGAGGTATAGTCCAAAAAAAAGATTAGCAAGCTTCTATTTTCAACTTATATTTTTTGAGTTTTTATTTGGACAAGTCGTTTTATAAGCCTAAATATGATGTATGATATCCTTTTCGGCGGACAAATTGGAGTATGATGGGGGCATGTCCTTGCGCATCCTGTCGAAAGCCTTTTGCACCGAGTACAAAGCACAGCCAAGATAAACTAATAATAGAGTGTTAAAAGGTTAAATAGCTGTGTACTCTCACAACCAAAACCCCTTACCTGTAAACGGCAGCAACATCGTCGGAATGAAGATCCAATCTCCAAGTCTGGTTAACGTCGTAATGCTCGCATAAACCATAAGATACATGAAGAACCCTGTGGTTATCATCCACGGCACTAAGAACTTGTATTTTTGCTGGATTTCCATTAGAAGTTAATTCGATTTGAGAGTGTCAGATGTTTAGCTCAAATAATTAACTCACCTTAAAAGCTCCTATTAGAAGGCACACGCTGCCTAATATTTGCAGAGAAGAAATGTGTATCCCCAGTTCGTAAAGTCCATCTAAATCGAAATAGTAACACAATTACATTTCTTCTAAACATTCATATGGGTACACTGTACATACTTCTCCAGAAATAATCGTCCATCAGTGCCAAATAGGTTATGGCAAAGGCAATGGATAAAAAGCCCGTGCAGATGATACCTCCGTTGGTGTCCAGCTTCAACATGTTTCCGACTCAATGGAGAACTTTGCAGTTTGAGTATTATTTCACAACTGAATCACAGAATACTACACACATCGCATTGGTCGACAAATTTTTGCTGGTGGCTTTATCTTATCTGTCGCTCGCTCGCTCTCCCATCGCCAAATTGGAAAACCTTTGTTCGTTTGTGTATAAGTATAATTTTATTGAAGGATTTGCTTTTTATTGCTTCGACTGGCCAGCAAACTGAGCCCTACCAAAGGGTCCCAGATTGTTGGCTACACCATTTTACAATGAGTTGCGATCTCGAGTCGATTATTTTGAATAATGCAATGAAATTGATTAGCTAACAAATTGAGTGGCGAGTGTGCAAAAATTTGTTTTTTATAAAATTTGTAACATGCATTCTTATTGTTTGGTTTTCTTGCATCTTTAACTAGTATAATTAAGTATAAAAAAATGTTACTTCGCATCGCATGGCATTGCTTCATATGTATTGATGTATAACTATTCGATTTTCAGTTAACTCGCTTGATAATCCGTAAAATGTAGCATATTTTAGATAATTTCGAGGCGTAATTCTGTGTGAGAATCAGTTAATTTGAGTTAAGTGGTGTTAGACTGGTTAAGGTAGAGTTAAGAAACTTGGCAAACTTCGCCCTTCTTCTGGTGTTTTCGAGTTAGTCAAGATATATAAAAATACGTAGATTATAACATTCGATTAGTACAAGTAGGTATGTATAAATATATAAAAAGTACACAACGTGTAAATTAGACTAAGTCAATTGAGGAGAGCTCCTTGGGGCAGGTTGCTTAGCTGCCCCTCGTCCTTGTGCCCTTTCTCGTTATTTTTCGATTTGTTGCTTTTCGTTTTGTTTTGTTTTTGGCAAAATCACAGGAGAATTAGAAATAATTAACGTAAGCTATGACACATCAATGTGATAGAGTGAAAGTGGAAAACTCTCAGTTACCGATTTGAAAGAGCATTGGTTGAACTTGATTTGCTTTATTTGCCTTCACTTGCATGGAGTTGACTTCCGTTTTAGATTAGTTTTGCATTAGGGTTTTGAATTCTATAAATGTATATTTGTATAATAAATTAAGACTATATATCCATTTATATATAAGTATATAGATGTATATATTTAAAAAGTAAGTAGGAGGCGCATTTTTCCACTTTTCAACTTAGGATAACAACATTGCTTTCGCGATTCGCTCCCCAGGCGTTCTATCGCCTTTCTGACTGACTGACTGACTGACTGAACTGGCTTGCTAACGGCTTGTAACAATATTCAACTAAAGAATCGCCGATCAAAAGTAATAACCATAATAATTGTGGCGATAATGACAATCAAAGGATGCCGACGCATGTACAAAAGAATAAATAAAATCGCGTATAAGAAGGATCTGCGTAAACCTATTTTAAACGTCGACAACCATTTTCTTGTGGATGTCAGTGTTGCCGACCACCGAGCAGAACTCATCGAACGAGATCTTCCCATCCTCATCCTTATCCGCGAATCCGATCGTCTTGTCCACAATCTGCTGCAATTGCGACTCCTTTAGATTGTTGCCCACCATCATCTTTAACACCTGTAAGTCAGAGTTGCGTTTAGGGCGATCTCTACGTGAAATTCGCGGGACTTGCCTGAAACAGTTCGCCGTTGGAAATGTAGCCGTCATTGTCCATGTCGTAGATGCGAAAAGCGAAGCGCAGTTTCGACAGCTTGTCGCCCTTGACGCTGAATTGTGACACGCCCTGAATGAACTCCTTGAAGTCCACCTCGCCATTGCCGTCCGCGTCGAAAATGTCGATCACACGCTGCACCAGAGGATTCTGTTGCAGCTCCGGCAGCGACATGAACTCGTCCACGCTCAGCGCCCCCGAGTTGTCCAGGTCCAGCTTCCGGAAACGTTTGCCCAACCGCCGGATCTCATCGGCGTCGACTGGAGGAATGCAAAAAACAAAAAACATGGAAGTTTCGTTTTAAAATTCGATTTATGCAGAATCACAAGCGCATGAAATAGGCATTTTTGATATATGAATACAGTGGAGCATCCCTCTATAGTTGCGATTGACGAAATTCTTAAATAAGAACGCAAATCTTCGATGTTTATAAATCTTCGTATTAATTGGGTTTTCCTGAAATCGTTAGAGAAACTTTATTCTTAAACTGTAAGAAATAGTAAAATTAACTAAAGTTTTTAAATTTTGAAATTATATAAAAATTTTTAAGAGGAAAAATAAGATACATATTTATTCCTAATACCAAAATTGCCTTTTAATATATATGTATATACTAGAATTTCTATTAAAGATTAAATATCGAATAGCTTGAATCTACTTAAGATTGTGGGACTGTATTTTAAACTATTAAAAATTGTAAAATGAACTTAAGTTTTATAAAATGTTTAAATGATATGAAAATTTGTAGCAACAGGAAAAATACGATATTTATACCTAATTCCAAATTTGCCTTTTAGAAATATTACGAAAATTCCTATTATGGATGTAAAATCATACGCTTTATTCTACTGAAGATTGTGGGACTGTAATTTATTTTTAGCGAGCGCTTGTCCGTCGATTATCTGATGAAGAAAAGTGTGACAAGTCACATTCTAGAATGCCCATTTCGAAAGAAACAAAAAAGGTATAAAATCTTTTCCTGATCCGAAATAAAGAGTTGATAATTGTAAATGAAAAGTCGACGCCACGTTCACGCTTAGTTTGCATTCCTTATTTGTTGGCCGTTCGCTTATACCGTATCTAAATGTTCACTTGTGTGTGCTTATGTTTGCATATTCATAAACAGCTGCCATTCCGTTTAAATGACATTGACTGAACAATTTCGTACTTACAATTGGAACACATTTCCATGGGCAGTGATGTTTCATTTCCCTGCAAGGCAAAAATATATATAAATTTGGGAAATTTTAATTTATTGCAGCAGCAGGTGGAGGGGATCAGGGGGAAGGGGGTGAGAGATGATGAACGGAATTTGACTTTATGAGACGGCAACAACTCTCACTCCAATTTCTGCTCTCTTCCATTCTCCCCCTTCCCCTTCTCACTCTCGCACTTTTGCACTTGTTCTTCGCGTATATTGTTGGCATTTTATTACCATTTTGGTTTCGCCTTTTGTGGTTCTCCTTGGTGCTATCTATAGAGTGCAAATACGCTTTCCTTTTGGCGTCGCTCTTTTCTCGCTTTTCCTCTAGTTTCGTTTACAATCCAATACTGGGGGCTATCCTGCACATGCTACTCGGGTTTCTGGGGCGCTGATTTACGGATTTGTTGTGGAAATCTTCGGTTTTCTATTTTCTATTGTGCATGAGTTTTTCCACAGCAGCTTTTGGTGTGACCGTAACTTAAGCGACAAAAAATGCGAGGAGGCCGAAGAAAATATACCAAAAAGCTTTGAGTCTGGCAACACGTTGCTAGGGCTGCCAACTTTTCAAGTGACAGCTAGAGAAAGAATTTTTTGAAAATGTGCGCCGTTTTTTTTAAACATATATTTTTTTATTTTTGAATAAATTAAACTAAATTATTCAATTTATAATAAATTGTACTTATTGGAAGTGGAGGGTTTACCATGGTTTACTGAAATCAAACATTAAAGTTACGTATTTTCCTATTAATTTTTGTCAGTAATCACAACTTTTTCATAAATGGCGGTTAAGGAATTGGGTGCATAGTTGAGAAATGTTCATTTCGGTCCGTTTATGACTACTTTCGCATTCTCCGGCGACTTTTAAACAAGCGGAGAGGAATAAAATGTATAATTAAACCAAAATAGTGAATTTATTTATTTCGTGGTTTTTCAATATGTATTAAGCTAGAGCATAAAGCAATTATCTACAACTGTGGGTGGATGTTTGTTTAAATATTTGTTTAATCCGTATTCTAACTAAATGAAAAGAAATCAGAGGTTATTAATAAATACAAGTAAACATTTTTTTGTAGTTCAATATACATAGATAAGGGACCCCTGAACAAAGGCTTCTGGCTACGCCGCTGCAGTTGCTTGGCTTCCCGCAGCAACATCAAACAACCACAGATAGCGTTTACTGTCCATACGGCATAATCTTTTGGCTACTCTTGGTTAACTGGCTTCCATCCCACTGCCATCTTCATTTTGCTGGCGACGTTCGACCAAAACAGTCATGAGGCAAGGAATCATCAGCCAGGAGGTAAACGGTCACCAGGAGTCGCCAGGAGCTGCGGAAGATGAGGGACGGCGGCGCAGGGTGGCGGTTGTCGGAGCTGGACTGGTAAGTGTTTTTTTTTTAAATAGTCAAAGGCTCTTAACAAACTGACTTTACTTATGGTTGTTATGTACAAATGAATGCTCAAAAAACATTACTAAGAAACACCTTTTAAAACAATTTTTTTTAAGAAATCCTTTTAACGTTTTGAAACCAAATCACGAAAACATTTAAATCTATTTTATATTTGAAGCAAATTTTTTTGACCCTAATGGTTAGTGTTTTTAAAAGAAAATAAGAAGTGATCATTTTTCTAATGGCTTTACTTCTTACTATAACAATCTTAATCAGAAAGACGAAGTTCATCTAATATGCTGCTGAATTTTGTATCTAAATGCGCCTCTTATCTGGATGCTGCCTTATCCCTAATCCCCGACTCTTATCAAGATATTTTTAAACTTTCTATTTTACCTATATCAACCTATTTAAAAGGTGGGTTCTTTGGCGGCCATAAACTTTGCCCGTATGGGCAACCAGGTGGATTTGTACGAGTACCGGGAGGATATCCGCCAGGCTCTGGTGGTCCAGGGTAGGAGTATTAACCTGGCACTTTCCCACCGGGGCCGCAAGGCTCTGGCCGCCGTCGGTCTGGAGGAGAAGGTCCTGGTCACTGCCATACCCATGAGGGGTAGAATGCTGCACGATGTCAGGGGAAACACCAGCGTGGTTCTATACGACCCCAACAGCAAACAATGTCTGTATTCAGTGGGTCGCCGTCAGCTAAACGAGGTGCTTCTGGATGCTTGCGATAAATTACCGAATGTTCGCTGTCACTTTGAGCACAAATTGACGAGCGCTAACCTCAGAGAGGGATCCATGGAGTTCCGGAATCCTAACCAAGAAGTGATTGCTGCCAAAGCGGACCTAATAGTGGGCTGTGACGGCGCCTTTAGTGGTGTACGCCAGCAATTGGTCCGTTTGCCGGGCTTTAATTATTCCCAGGAGTATATAGAGACAGGTTACATGGAACTTTGCATACCCTCGAAATCGGGTGATTTCCAGATGCCCGCCAATTACCTGCACATCTGGCCCCGCAACTCCTTTATGATGATCGCCTTACCGAATCAGGACAAGTCATTCACGGTGACCCTATCGATGCCCTTTGGGGTCTTCGCTAAAATTCAGAATCAAAATGATCTACTGGATTTCTTCAAGTTGAACTTTCATGATGCTCTGCCGCTTATTGGGGAGCAACAGCTCGTCAAGGACTTCTTTAAAACTAGGCCACAGCATTTGGTGTCCATCAAGTGCAAACCCTATCACTATGCGGACAAGGCCCTGATCCTGGGCGACGCTGCACATGCCATGGTTCCGTATTACGGTCAGGGAATGAATGCCGGAATGGAGGATGTCACGCTGCTCACCGGAATTCTGGAAAAGCAGTTGCGGCTGGACGAGGCTTTGGCTCAGTTTACCGAGTCCCGCTGGCAGGATGCTTTTGCCATTTGTGATCTGGCCATGTATAACTATGTGGAGGTGGGTATTTTGATTGATATAGTTATATATATAGAACATATTTTGAACCCTCTTCTACTTCATTCCATTCTGTTATTCTTCCAGATGCGAGACCTGACCAAACGCTGGTCCTTCCGGATCCGAAAATGGCTGGACACCTTGCTATTTCGATATTTCCCCGGCTGGATTCCACTCTACAACAGCGTCTCCTTTTCCAGCATGCCTTACGCCCAGTGCGTTGCCAACAGGAAGTGGCAGGACCAGCTGTTGAAGCGGGTTTCCGTTGCAACTCTATTGGCTGCGATCCTGGCAGGAGTAGCTATTTTTTCACAGCGTTTTATTTGAAATACTTTTTTAAAACATTTTCTAATTACTATAAAGCTTAAGTCCGAAAGAGTATGCCTTAAAAAATATTGTTTTACAACTGAAAATAAAAAGTGCTTCATTAAATTAATAGTAAATAACATGAAAAGTACCAGTTCCATCACTTGTCACTTCTGCTAGACTTTTCAGATTCCCAAAAAGGGGGAGTGTCTTCTCTTTAGTTATATTATCTTTTATAACTGCTTTTTTCTTGGCCTCGTGTTTCAGTGGTTTCCAGCTTACATTTGAAATCTCGTCAGTTTCGTCATTTGCATCAAGAAAACCCGAAAGTGTGTCTCCACCTTCTGTGGTGCTAGTAAGTTCAGTGCAGAAGGCAGCCTAGGATTCAGTTTTTGCCTTGCCATCTTGACATTTAGCTCTGCTTAATATCCTTCTCGTTTCCTTTCTTATTTATCAAAGCTCCAAGAACATGATTGACGGTTAGACTTTGGAGGTCGACTTATAGGACAGAATTTGAGGTAGGCCGTGCTAAGGGCTTTCGCTATTTCCTGGGAAACAATTTTGTGGTTTCCAGAGGAAGGACTCATTTTTTTGACTAAAGGATAACTCCGAGGAGGAGCACTTATTGGCTATGTGATAATCTAACACGTTTAAAGTATTACTATTCCTTGCTAGGGCTATGTCTTATTGCAGAAGGTGGCGGTGATTGATTTCCGGTCATCCTTTGTTGAGGGTGGTATCCAAACCTTGACGACTGCCCGTACGGCCTCATTACGCGCCATATTTCGCCTATGCTAAGGACAATATCGTAGATGGACCGAACTGATTCTTCGTTGCCACATGCCACAACCATGGCTTTTTGAACTACCTGATAGAATCGAACTTTGTGGTTTTGGACCACTTAAGCTCTGGTTTGGAACCTATACTCGCCAAGATGCTCTTCTGGCGAGTTATCTTGATTTGAGATGCCCTTTTCAAGTCGTCCGACCGGAAAAGTCGCACAGGGAAAATTAAGAGCTACAGTAAATCGCGTACGAGCCTGTGAGCCCGGTTCCAACCCCACATTGCCTACTTCGCTTGATGCCTACTTCAACGCGGGAGGCAAATGGTCGGATTATAGCCATCTGCCAAACTAAATCGTCAACACGGCAAGCTAGCAGCAACCCACACCCCACTACAGCGACACTATCTTATGCAGAGCAGCGACAGAGCACACGAGAACAGTATAAAACCGCGGTCGGCACACACACATTGCGTACGTTTATTACTATGTGTGCTCTCTGCTGTTTTTCATGCTCGAACTCCGTTTTTTAAATGTGCAGTGATGTCACATAGAAATACATAATTGCCAATTGCTTCTAAGATTACAGATCGATTTTGTTGTGTCTACCGATTGAACAGAAACACAGAGCCTAATAACTAAGGCCTAACATGACTCCGAGTGTTTTCGTCATTTCACTATGGAGCCAACGACCACTTTTGCGGGCCAAAATTAATAAGTCGCTTAATTTTTCTAATATCGAGTTGAAACTTTACCAATGTTTTTTTTTATCCTTAGGCTACATATATATCCAAAAAACTGAGATCGGACCAATGTATCTATTATCTGTCATACGATTAATCTATCCAACTTTGTTGTTGCTTATGAATATAATACGATTCACTTATTCAGCCAAGCTGTAAGTTTGGTTTATTTATTTTATATCACAGCATAATTAAAGTTCAAATTTGAGAGTTTCGTTAAAATACAATATAGGAAATTTGCATTCACATCGAATGATTGTTTTTCACACAAGTGTGCAATGTTAATGCCTGAATTTGCAGCTTACATTCTCCGGGATCAAGTTCCTCTAGCTAGAATGGTAAATGGTGGACTCCCACAGATTTCAAGGTTTTCAAAAGTACTATAACTGTGTCGGTTTCTAACCAATTTGCATGATCTTTTTGGAACAACTTCAAATTTCAAGGTTATATTAGCTGCTGCGGTTGTTAAGAAAGTTAAGATAGCATCTTCTTTGTCCTTTTGGGCTGCCTTTTCAATACATATAAAAACAACTCAAAGCTGCAAAACTTAAGATTGTGTCTAAAAAAACTAAATAAATTTAAAAGTGGCAATAAGTGGCGATTTCAACAACATATATTTGAACAAGAAATAAATACTCTTGAAATCTCAAAAGGTTTTAGAAGTGGACCACGCTAGACTCGCTTGTTGCTCTAGATAAAAATTAGATTTGTAAGACAATTTACTTTACCGCTTAAATACATGGAAATCAGGATAGATTTCAACCTTTTAAACACACAAACACTTAGTACGCACCACCATTCTTCAAATTCATTTAAAAAAATCTTCTTGAAAAGCTTTTCTATTGTTTTTTTATGCACTTCAAAACTGCAATGTGAAATTAGAATTTCAAAAGCACAAAGGCTGCATCTCAAACGGCTGATTAAACAGCTGTAATCTTAACAGAAGCGCCATCTATCGGAATTTCTGAAACGTAACATAGCAGGTTGATCTTCGGTTAATGCATCGTAAAACAACATTTTTAGTTTTATCGACTTTTCAAATATGGGTTTTGGCCAAAGAATGCGGTCGTTGGCCCCATAGTGCATTTGTGGGTACTAGAGTTAGGACTCATAAGTTACTAGAAACTTCATGAAAATCCCAAATCTCTTGCTTTTATAGTTTCTGAATTCTCGACGTTCATACATACGAATATGGCTAGATCGGCTCGGCTATTGATCAAGAATATATAAATTTTTTGTATGGTCGCAAACGATTCCTTCTTTCTGTTACATACTTTTCCACGAATACAATATACCCTTTTACTCTACGAGTACTTAAATGAAGTTTTTAAACTTAAAATACTTGAAGATGGAAAGGTGTTTGTTTACTTAAAATATCTTCACACAGGAAAATCGTATGGGTTTCCTCTCAAAAGAGGAAATGTTTTCAATGGAAAAATTTGTTTATGTTACTCATGGATATAGTAATTTCCAAAACTTACCATATCATCAGCAAACTGTCCCACAATCATATGTTTCATATATTATTTATTTTAAAACAGCTTAAAGATTGGCCCTCCTTCAATAACAAATCAAATGCGATGGGAGAACTTGAAAACAAAGAAAACTGATAAACTATTGTTTACTGTGGATTCACGCAGGTCTTATAAATACATATGTATGTGTGTATGTATGCTCGATTTCGTGTGTTGGCAAAATAAATGAAATTTCTTGTTGGCCGCGTGGCTACTACGCATCTCATTTGGTCTACGGGACTATCAACCGGTGGATGTGTGGATATTTTTGGGTTTGTTTTGTCGCTTTAGCTGTTGAGGCGGCGACAGCCAAAAATACCGCCCTGACAATGTGATTTTAGCTACGCTTTTCATCGATTATTTCTACTCGCAGTTTTGCAGCCTTGGTCACGTGATCGTGATCCCCGAACATCCGGCAGATGCATTTGTTTATTTTTTGCCTTCCAAAGGATCACTGGTCTGTGTACCCTATATAAAGCCTATAGATCATATGCATAAATGGGCATAACACGCTGATCGCTGGGCTTTTTAGGTGCGACAGAGAGGGACAAAAAGCTTTCGATTAATTAGCATTCGGTTGCCACCCCAACCCTCTCCCTCTTCTGCGCCCTACCCCCACCGCACTGGGAGGAGGACAGGGTGGGAGACAAAGAGAGCGCAAGGTCGGCGCTTTCTCAATTTGAAAACGCCAACGCCGGCCGGTATTTCATTACAACAACAAGATGATCGAACAAAAGCTTTTTCAATTCCCCCCTCTGGCTCAATCTTTCTTCCCTTTTACTCTTATCCTCTCTCATGAGCACAGATAAAAAAACTCACTTTAAATCTAGGCTTAAAAGTGAAAACCTTAAGAAACAATAGCTTCCAGCCATTTCTTGACCTACTACTCAAAAGCTCACAGGTGTTTGGAGAAGATTTTGACTAACGAAAGAGTGGAAGGAAGTGAAAACGAAGGTAGAAAAATACATGGTCACAGCGAATGAGAGGGGGAGCGTAAGACAGTGATAGAGAGAAAGGGTGAGCGCCACTTAATTGTTGTTGCTAATTCAGTTGCGCGAACTTTTTGGTTGGCACTCTCTAGAATCGTCGGCGCTTCGCTTTGCTCCCACTAATGACAGTGGAACGTCAACAAAAAATAATTATTATAGAAGTAAAAGAGTATGAAAATTGATTAATCAGTTTTTCTACGATTTATTTACAGATTATTCAATAGATATGATCGAAAATTCCTAGAAAATATTTAAGTTTTTTATTGTATTTTTTTTTAAAGGTCATATATACAGTGTACATTGTACACATATAAATATCAACCATACAATTTCCAACATATCTCAAATTTATGTTGAAGTACTAATAAATTTAGGAAATCGAAATAAGTTATTTAGTATTAAGAATGAATATTCGGTATCAAATACCCAAGTTTTAGTTTTTCGAAAACTTGAGACATTTTTTGGCGGTTTGGGCTAACACATTTTTGGAGTCTATTTAACCCCAATAAAAACCATTTTAAAATTTCAACTCATCCATTAAAAGTTACATAATTGAAAGATTCGATACACATGAATGGTAAAAGTGACCCTAGGCAGGTCCCACTGTATGCACAAGCGCTCGTCTTCGCTTGGCCGTCGGACCAGCGGGCCAGCGCCATCGCCATCAGTTGCTCGTCACATGTTCGACACTCAAGTAGACCAAAAGCCCAGGGAGCAGTACAGTGCCAACCGAAAACCGATCGAACGGTGAGCAACCGTTGGACAGAATATCGAATATAGCAACTCAGTAACAGTTAGACCAAAAGACAAATCCGCAACCGTTTATTGCGATATAAAAGCCTGGAGCAAGAGCTACCTTTATCAGCCCTTTTGCTGTCGAGTCGAAAACCACATTCTCGAAGCTTTCCGCTGAGTTTCCGCGTGGTCTGTAGAAACGAAAAATATACGCCAAAAAAGCAAGCGAAAAAAGTGAAATTGAAATTCAAAATCAAAAGTTTGGAGTTAAGTGAATGTTTCTCAGTGTGTGTGTGTGCAGTGCAACGGTTATATAAATCCAAAATTAACGGTAGCCGAGCAATTAAGGTGTTACTTGTCAGAATTTTATAAAAAAAAAACCGAATGTTTTGGCTTGTTACTTTGTTGTAGTAAACCAAAATCAAAACCAAATACTAAATATACAGTTCGCCATCCTGGACCGTTCGTTGTTTTTAGTGTGAGGCGCTCTGCCTGCATTTCGCCGGAACGTCAAACCCTACCCACACCCTGCTGCCCGTCGTCGATAGCATACCGATACCGATTGTTGATACCAATAGCCGCTTGCTGTTTATAACATTTTGATTAAAAATTCAGCAATCCGTGCCCTACTTAACAAAGACCTATAAGATAGGATTCTGTTCGGTTCCCATCTTAAAAAATCACGACGCAGCCATCCATCCGTGGATTTTGGATGATGAGCGACTAGGCACGAGCTATTCGAATTGTTAAGGTAAATACAAATAAACAAACTCACACACAATCACCGTTATTGATCTCGCTCACTTTGTGGGGCTACGTGACTGCAGCACAGTTCTCGGGGTCCGGGGAATTCGCAAATCGCAGATCGCATCGTGTCGCATGGTTTTGTGTTCTGCCTATAATGAAAAGCAAACCAGAAATGCGGATAACGATCTAGGCACACACACCTCCCGCCCTCGGCCCATGCCCCCTTTTGGTTCTCGCATAGTCTTGGCATCTGGCATTTCCGGTTTCGCTATTTTTTGGCGGTGTAGAGATATGTAGATGAAAACACCTTAAGATATTATTCAACCCAAGATCCTCCTCTTGATTTGGTTGTATTTACTGCTCTGAGAGAAATAACAAAAAAGATAAAGATATTGTTTGTTTAATTTGTAAAGATTACTTTAGTAATATGAAATATCACACTTCGAAACTAATCATTAATCAAACCCAAACAACTTTTAACGCGATAAAAAATAGTAATTTTCGCACTTTTCGTTATAGTTTTCGTTTCTTGCATGTGAAGCTGCAACGCGCCAAAAGAGAACATTTTTGAAATTTTATATTTGTTGACACGAAAATATAATTATTTAGAAACAACATTTTTATGACAGAGTCATTTGATGTTGAGGGTGTAGCCCTTTCTTACCCAGAGAGGTAAAAACTTTCGACAAAGTTGCTTTGTTTTGTGGACTGAAAAATAGGCGGAGCGTAATCTTTGTTCATTTCTTATCAAAATTGCCAAAGGGGATAAGAATCTAAAATCACGTTTTTCAAAAGGAAAATACTGGTTTTTTCTTGAAAAATTTTTCAGATAATATGGTGTTTGCATAAAATTGTCTATGTATATGTTATATTATTATGTATAAATAACAACATCGACCGATGCCAAAGGATACCACGGAATTAAACAAAAAAAAAAAAAGTATTTCTCTTTTGCAAATGGGAGGCTTTAATCGTGATTTTAGACATATAGTTCCTTTGTCAATATTACTTACAATTACATGGATTAACTTTCTCCCCTACTATTTACAATTTTTTTGGGTCAATGGAAATCGACCTACCCTAATGTACATAAGACTTTTCGCGCACTATCTGTGTCACTCATCTCTATTTTAACTATGTCTCAAAATTGTAGTTTCTGCATAATATATCAATGATAAAATCTGCCATATTGACAACGAATACGGAGAAATATTAGCTACATAATTATTGAATTTTGAAAAATGTATTGTGTTGACTATAATATGGACAATAATAAAGCAATTTAACGCACTTGGGAATACCCAGTTTATTTTAGTAAACATTATACACATGTACTAATACGTTTGCTCGTTAAGGGGAAAAATTATCGTCGTTCTTGAATTCATCCATCATGTTAGGGTTCAAGATCGGTTAGTGTTCGACAGTTCTGGAAAAGTAATTAACTCATTTGGAAGGGGAGGAGATCAGTATTGAATTTCTCGTATATGAATTGAATGTACATTTGTACATACATATACGTATTAGAGATTGAGCCATAATGTCTGGTAAACAATAATAAAGGCCTCAGGGGGATGGTTTAGTTTCGTAAATGGCTACATTTGTTTTATACCTTTGTATTACTATTTTATTTAAAAATTGCAAAGCAACGTAACATTTTTGAAAATATTTTATTATTATATCTCATAACTATTGAGTAGATTTGGTTTTCGTATGGATTCAAATTAGAATTATAGACCTTGTTGTGTACCTTCGTTGGTAAATAAAGATAATTTAATATCTTGAGAAGGTTCTGGTAAAATATGTATACGCTTTGTTTCGTTTTAAATTTACTTATTATTAATTAAGGGGAATTTTTTTCCATTTAGTTTTCTTTGTAGTTTTTGAATATATATTTTTGGTAATTCCAGGCATATACCCTAAGGGCATTTTAAAGGTATTTTTTTCCTATATATGTATATACATATGGTAGGCTCATTATTTAAATTTTGGTGGGCAAAAAACTCATTTAAATTAAACTAATTTTATTTAATTTGAATTTATTATGATAGATTTTAATTTGCAATAAACATATTCGAAATCAAACAAATTTCATTTTTATCTGCAGGTCCGCATACAACAAAAAATTAAAAGTAGAATGTTTAAAATATATTCCGATAAGGAAACTGTGGATATATAAAAATGTTCGATTTCTTAGCAAACTAGTATTTTTTCGGAACTTCCACAAGAAACAATGGATTTCAGGGTCAAGATTTTAAAAAGTCTATACTCTGCGGATGATTCCAGCTTAAAAAGTACTGTGACAACTCTATAAAAATTGCATGGTCTCCAATAAAGATCCATCTTGGCCAGTGACGGCCGTACAAAGCTGTTTAAATACTTTTCGGATCATCTAAAATTATTAGTGTAAACACTTGTCAATTTTTTCGCATATGCGACTAGTCAAAATTTTCCAGGCAGTTCCTCATACGTTGCATATGGAAGATAGCACTTCGTCTTTCTTTCTTCCATTTCTAACCTTACCTTATTCACAAGCTTATTAAATGATTTTAAAATCATTTGTTTTGTTTAAAAATGAAAAAAAAAAAATACAAAAAAAGTTGCTAACCTCATTATAAGCCTTAACCAATGCGCACATTATATCGAGTTTACATAAAATTTACATAAAATTTAAACAATATTTAAAGGCAACAAAAAAATGATTCTGTTATATCGAAATTCAAACATCTCCCACAGTATCTGAAAAATGCAGCTACTTCGATAGTGTTTGACAAAACCAAATATTCGACGATCTATACAATCGTGAGTGTTAACACAGCTCTATTAAAGGGGTCTTCTACTCCCGAGGCGAGAATTTGAGTGGTTATTTCAGGAATTTATTGCACAATTTTCAATACGTACAAAGATTAAATAATTTTTATATTTTTTTACTAGTAAAACAAAACCGGTATGTTTTGTGAACAGTTTGATAAAAAACAATTTTGAATCGGACGAGTTCTTCTATAAAAAGTCTTACTAAGTTACGTTTTATAACTTGGTTGAAATAGGTTTCTTACGGTTGGCAGGTACATACATACATGCGAAAAAATATTATTTCGACAAAATCATTTTTGCAGTGCATTCCCAGAAACATAGATTAAAATAATATATAAAAAAAAAATCAATTTCTTGAAACTGCTAGAGTAGAAGAGGGGAAAACTGATTAGTTTACTGATCACACATTCAATCGCCGAATTTTGTAAAGAGAAGAGTAAGGCAAAATGAAATAAAGCATTCTCATACGAAAACTTACATCATCGAGCGGGGGACAGAAAGAGACAGAGGAACAACGCACCCGCCAAATGGAAAGTATTTACATATGTATGTATGTACATACATATGTACATATAGGCATAAAATATACAAACATACATATGTACATACATATGTAGATATGTGTTATTTTTCGGCGATTTTGTTTTTGCTTTTTCGGATGAACGCAAAAAATAAGTAATATAAATTGCGCGTTTAAAAATTGTGGAACTTTTTTTTTACTTATAGAGCTCATTTAGGAAACCACAGCAGTTAATCAGTGATAAAAGCTAAGCAAAGACGGCAGAAATAGACTGCGTTCATTAGCAATTTTTGACTGGCTTCTATATATACATATGTATGTACATATGTATGTACATACAGTGGGCAAAATAAGTTTAAGTACACTTTGCACTTAAACTTCATGTAAACTGTTCGTAAACTTGTTATGTCCACTGTAAAAAAATCAACGGAATTTTAAACATTCTTCTAGAAAATGCTTAAAACTATTGTTCGTCAAAGCAATTTACCAATAACTAATTTTGTTTCTTCCCTTATCTTTTTTTTTCTTTTCATGATGATGCGCTCTCTCTGTTTTATCTTGCGGTAAATGCCATCCAACAGGGGTAGCAAAAACGCAGAACAGCAATTTCGCGAAAAATACGCAGTTGGGAAAAAGTGTTAGCAAGTAAGAAACAACATTAATGAATTTTGTGATTAAAAACATTTAAAAGGTGTACAACAAAAGCTCATTTTGTATAAAAATAAAAAGAACGCTAGCGAAATATTCAAAATAATATAAAATCCCAGCACGCCAGCAACAACAAGACGTGGCACAAACTAAAAACACAAAAAAGCTCACAATCAACGAAATCGAGAGCGAATGCGCGCGCTCGAGAGTGATAGCAGAAAAGCAGAGTGAAAAAGAGAGAGGTACAAGAAGAGCGGTAATCGAGAGCGACAACAACAAAACACAAGCGCAAGCAGAAGCCAAAAGCCAATTGCGCACGGAACGTAGAACAGGGAAAACTAACGGAACTCAAGAATCGCAGCACGGATAATAGTTAAAAAGGGTGAACAAAGAGACAGGGAAAATGGTAAACAAGGTGAATGGCAAGAAGGCGGAAAAGGACAAGGAGAGGCAGCGAGAGGCAATGTTGCCGGCGGCGGGCAACAACAGCAACAACAGCAGCAACATCGGAAACAGCAGCAACATCGAAAACAGCAGCAACCTTAGCAACATAAACAACAACAAAACGAATAACAAAACAACGACCAATAAAGGGCTAAATGCCAAGCCCAACAACGTTAGCAAAAAGAATGGAGGCAAGGGACAGCAGCAACAACAACAGCAGCAGCAACAACAGCAACGCAGTAGCAAAAAAGCTAAGCCACAGCGGCAACAGATATTTTTGCAATCGCTGCCACGCGACAGCAGCAACTACAGAAGCAACACTTACAGGAGCAACATCAACATCAGTAGCAACATTAGTAGCAACAGCAACAAAAGCAGCAACAGTAACAGCATCAATAGTAACAGCAACACCTTGGACACACCGGCCACATTGGACAGTGGATTGGGCAAAATAAATCCCGCTGAACTGCTAACGGCAGCCTTGGCCGTGCCCTGTGCCAAATGCTCAAAGCCATCGATGATCTCTAGTCTGACCACCGCCGTAACCGCATCCACATCCTCCGTTTCCACCTCCGCCACCTCGTCGTCGTCGTCAACCAGTTCCGGATCGGAGACCGCCAGCAATCATAGCGATCTCAACTATCCGGAGCCGGTTGTCTACTCTGGCAAGCAGTATCGCAAATCCAAATCCTATATGGGTGCATCCCTGTACAATAGTTCATCTAATACATACCAATCGGGTCGGGCGCCCAATGCCGCTGGCGGTGGTAATGGCAATCATGTAGCGTATAGACGGTCCCATAGCGATCGTCGCAACTCGTTTGATCGCACTTTCGCCGAAAGGAATCGCGACTTTGTGCCCATTGTGCCGCCGTCGCGTCCGGTCTTGTCCTCATCCAACATCGCCGGTGTCATGGCCAGCGCCTCCAAGCTTACGATCATAGAACGGTTCGGCAAAGGACGTATCGCGTATCCCATAATGCAGGTGAGTGAGTCGAGATAAGATATATGACCTTCGAATGAAAATGTTTCAGTTTTGAATCGATAATTTTTTTTAAAGATTATATTGAAGATACTAAATTATTTTACTAGAAGTTTTACAACATAAGTTTTCAGCATAAATAACAGCATTAAATGTTTTAAAATGTGTGTGTCAATATTGACACTCCAATTTTACTGTGGGACCATTACTTCAATCCTTTTATGATAGAAATCCACCAGTTTATATTTTTTGTCATTGGGAATCACCAAATTACAAGCCAATTCAAATTTTCTGATTTCTATTTTTTTGATATTTAATATTGTTTGACTAGCTCCACACAAGAGAAAGGTTTTTCTGTTAACTTAAAGTACTTTGTTATTCCGTTTTATAGAAGCTATAATTTTGAACGATTTCATGTTGATAATGTAACATTAATAAGCTAAGGGTACTAAGGGACTAAACCTAACAAACTATTGTTTCTATCGGTGAACGCTCGAAACTGATATGGGATCATAAATAATAACATATACAAGTGCCAATCCTACCCAGCCTTTACAAAAGCAGTAAGTGAGAGCGGCATTAGTATATGGGATTTGTATTTATTACGTTCGTAACTGCACACCCAGAGAAAAACACCATAGTAAAATTAAACATTAATACAATATATATGAATGTAACAATTTTTTTTCAAAACATAACATTCTTTAAATAAATTAAAAATATGATAATGTAATTATTAACAAATTTAATTGGTTTACCCAATAGGAAAATTGTAGATTTCATTTTTTTTAAATTTAAACTAAACATTTCCATAATTAAAAATAAAAGCACCGAAAATTCTTAATCCAAAACAAAGTGAAAATATTTGGACTTACCATGATTTTTTTTTTTTTGGGTGTAGCACCAATTATTCTATATAAAGCACATGTTTGTTTTTTTATGATATTGAAGTATGAATATTGGGTTTTAAAGTTTATTATTGGAAATACGATTTGGACATTTAGGAAAAAATAGCAATACCCCCCAAAGTAAGGAAACTTTTGTAGCTTTCCACTCTAATCAGTTCCAGCAGCTACCGAAGGAAGCAGCCATAATTAATGGCACACAAACAAGTACTGATGATAAGAAAAAAAGGCAGAAAGGCGAGAAAGTGAGTGCTTAGTCACCTATATATTTTTGATAAGCTGATTTCATTTCGGGAGTCGCAAAATGGGAGTCGTAGAAACTAAACTGCACAACTCTAAACAAACAATCTAAGACTTTTCTCTCCGCACTGATTTGCGGGCCTTTTTTGCAATTGTTTTGCAATTTGTTATCTCTTCCCTGTGTATATGTGACAATATTCTTTTTGTTTGTTATTTACGGTTATGCACTTGAGGGGAAATATTACGTATACGCCCTGGCTGACAGCAGGCAATTTGTTGCCACCGATTTTGTGCAATCGAGAGAGACAAATGCGATGCTAATATACGGAAACACTGTTGTATCGCCTTGAATCTCCGTCACTCTTAATAGCTGCTTATGTATATACATTCTGGCCGAACAATTCGAGTTCCAAACAATATGGTAACCAAATCTCTGCGAGAATTTCGAGTCAGGTATTTTATGCAAATTCCTCGCTGACGTCTCTTGTCATTTGATTTTGATTTTATTGTGGAAAAAAATTAACCGAAAGTGGTTTGATTAGCATGTGCTACAACACTTAGCTAGTTAACAAAACTAGTTCTAAACGAACCAAAATACAGGAAAAAATAAGACAAACTGATGCGAAAAGTGAAACTTGTTTGGACCTAGCTATATATTGCCAAAAAAACTGTTGCCTAGGGCTGATTTAGAAAGCTAACCTGAAATTATCACAAAGGAACTCTTTAACAAAACCACTAAGAGTCAAACCAGCCCTAAAATTTATCAATTACAGTCACTTCTTGGCTAATTTGCCTTCGTCTTGGGCTGTGCCGTTTTTAACAACTGTTTCAACAATTTGCTTAGCCTTGGCATTGCCTTTTCTGGCCTTCAAATAGTAAAAACAAAAACTAGACGAAAACATTGAAAATTTTCAGAAAAACAATCCGAACACACATTTTCTAATGAATCACTCGAATTGGATCTCTCGGCAGCTTGTTGATGTTTACTCTTTTGGTCCCAGACATACATTAAATTGCCCCACGTGAATTTTGACTCCGAAGCACAGTAGGCCAAGTTGTGATATTGGCTGGTGAAATGCCTTGGCTTGGAAACAAATCTCTCCACACGTGGCCAACACTTTGGCAACGGAAGCGAGCCCATTGATAAGATAGTGAGTGGAACTTCTTATGCCGAAAGCTCTGTAACAAAAGTTTTGAGTTAGGTTATATATGTAATTAAAACTATGGTTGGTTTCCATTTTTTTTTTCAACTTTAGATCAAGTAGGCTAAAAATTATAAAAAAATATTGTTAAACTTTTTCGATAAAAGATTAGGAGTTGAAATTCTAGAAGTTTAATAGTCTCTTATCTAGTTTAAACTGGTATTTTAATTTGACTTTTTAATGATTGAGGGTAAAAAAATGGTCAAGTACCTTTTCGGATAAAGTTATCGCTGAAGTTGAGATGTCAATGTGATAATGATATAATATAAATACAATTATCGCATAAAAATATCGCACAATTCCAGTTATCACAGGAAGTTGAAAACTGAAGTCAGCTAGCTTTCAAACTAAGATTGTGATATAACAATAATAACAGATATATTTCATAGGAAATGAGTTGATTACGCAGAAATTTAAAACTAAAAGGTAAATGTGCCCTTTCTGTCTTATAAATAGAATGGTTTTGGGATACTCTTTCATCACAAATTGTTTACTTGTGATTTTGGAAGTCAAATTTTCAAACTGCTTTACATTGTCGAAACGCATATAAAGTAAGTACTCAAGCCAAAGTGTGTTCCCAGTATGCGGGGATTTCCAGACTTGATTTGAATCTCGTCAAAGATTCGCAAACATTCTGAAGCTTATCAGGCATGGCGATTGTACAAGCACACATAGGTTTATAATATAAATTGAAATATATCAACTCTTCTGCTTACGTCAAGCGTCACTTGAATCTGTATATGAATACGAGTGTGCTATATGGACAGGTGGAAATGTTTGCAAAGAACCGTCTGAGTTACGAACTTTCTGTTGGAGCAGCTGATGATATAACTCTTTCTCCCTTTGCAGTAAGCTTTTCCAGGCCATTCTTTTCTAAATATATTTAAACAACATACCAGTTAATTAGCTTAACAATTTAAAAATAAATAGACCCCAAAAATCTACCGAGCTTCAGGATCACTACTACAACTTAAGAATAAACCACACCTTGAATTTTCACATATCCAAAAATTAAGATTTATACTAATTGCTTTTAAAATAATGGCAAATTTGTGTATGATAGATATTGACCTATTCGATCAACATATACCTAAAGCATGGACAGACTTTCGCGATTTTTGGGCGTAAGAGTGTGTGTGACCACATTTGTATACACTTGCGTAGGCTTTTCCAGAATCTTCATGTAAAATCCCAAATCTCTAGTCTTTATACTTTCCGAGATCTCGACGTTCATGTGGACGGACAGACAGACATGGTTAGATCGACTGAGCTGCTGTCCTGACCAAGAATATATATACTTTAAAAGTCTCAAACGCTTTTTTTTTTATCTGTCACATAATTTAAACAAATATAATATACCCTTTTACCTTACGAGTACGGGTATAATAAAATTATATGCCTGTGTGTATCAGAGGATCTATAGCGTGCCAAGCTTTTTCTATTTTCTCTTAATTATTATATTTGTTTCTATTATTATTTGAGTCAGTCAATATTACGCTACCAAATCGCATATTGTTTTCGCGAACTGCCACAGCTGTGTGTGAGCAACATTTGCTTCAGTTGAGTTCCACCAACTCAACTGCGTAGTAAAAATCATTTATAAATATGATTTTGTCGGCAAAAAAGCGTTGTAGAGCGATGAAAAAGTTATGGTGTGCCAAAACTGCAGTTGTGTGCGCAATTCTTTTGATTATTGAAATTAGTGGCAGAACAAATTAAATATGAAAAGAAAAGTACTGTAAGGGGCTGCTATCACGTGTGCTCGAGATTCCACACGCTTATCGTAGCTGCCAAAAAAACGTGCAAAACATAATAAATTCAATGCCGTTAGACCACAAAGAAAAGACCCACTCAACGTAGCTAGAAAGTTTCATGACAATTCAAATTTTGAGATTTATCACTCTTCATATCGCCTTCACCTCAAGGCAAAAGTAGCGATTCTTTTTTGAGCTTAGCAGACTTTGCGCCTTGGTAACGGAATGGCTATATGGATTTGTGATGCGTTCTACTTTTGAGCCCAGCCTGAAAATAGGCAACATGAACCCGGTTTTCTATTCAAAATATTTCTTACATGTAGGTAAAATGTGTGTAGACTGCCTCTGCTAGAAATTGGTTTGATCTTCTGGTCTTAAGCTCTGTTAAAACCTAAAAAACTGCTATGAAAGCATACGATCTTTATTATGATGATACAAAGTTTTCAGCTGAAATAAAACGATTGTTTTTTGTTTAATGTTAGTTTAAAATAAATGATACGAATTTGGTAAAAGCAAAGAGAGGAAGACACTTTGGCCAGTCCAATTTTGTATACTTTAGTAGCCATTTAAAAAAATTTCTATGTAACAATTTTTTGTGCGTTTTATCCAGCTGCGGTCAAAATAATCGTAATGCTATCGCCCCCATCATTAAATGTTTCTTATTGTTATTTGTCTTGTCTAGTTCATGCAATGGTAATTTTATTAGATAAGACTATATATATAGTTTAAAACAAAAGAAATAACAGTTTTGCAAATTGGAAAATAATATTTTGTTTTCTGGATTTGAGAAAAATACATTTCCCGTGCTGCCATAACTCTTTAAAAAAGTAATGAAAGTGAAGAAAAAAAATTAAGCAGAATAAAGTTTTTATAATTTTTAATTAGTTGCACACATTCCAGTG